TGCTGCAACTCTTCCCGGCGGACTTCAAGGTCCCGACGGACCCAGCACGGGTGACCGCGGGGGCTGACCAAAGATTCTGTTCACCTAATTCATATACTTTTGTACATATATAGACGAGTTTTATGGGTAATCCTAAAGATCCCATTGCTGGGGTTGAAAATATAGTACCCAGTTCTGAATATAGGCAGCCGAAAATTCATCATGTAACCAATAGCAGTCCAATATTAGACGTCAAATCAATAACATTGGCACTCAAATGTCCAAGTTGCAAAGAACCTTTTAATGTGCGTGCAAACTTGACAGCCGTTACGGAAACTACTGCTACTGCTGAAATGAGATTTAACGCTGCAGGTGCAAATTTCCCAGTACATGAAAATAGAAAACTGAAATTTGACAATAAGACCCGCAATAAAGGACAACTAAAAGTTGTTGCTGCTGCTGCTTGTAGGAACTACACGCCGCCTAAAAGTGCGGGAAAACGTCGACACGCATATGATCTGATTCTAAAAGTGCGGGAAAACGTTGACACGCATATGACTCTGACTCTGATTCTAAGGATGATCCCCCTAGTTCAAAGAAATCCAAGGTTGTCAATCGCCATTTGAAATTCAATATCTAGTATTTAGTAGTCAGTAGATTGATCCACATGTATCCTTCTCGTAAAAGGTGCTTCTAAACACCTTTAGCAAATAATTTATATTCACAAGGATTTTCTTTGTTCTAGTTATACTGTTGGATAATAAAGAATTTATGAGTTTCGCCCTTTGATCATTACTGAATGGTCTAAAGTCGTCAAGAATTTAATAAGACATTGGATAATAATGCATAAATTAAATATATAAAATTCAAATGGTAAATAAATAATAAAAAATTCTCAAGATATATAAATGTTCACTATTTGAACCAAAAACTTTTGAGGTTGTTCCCTTCCAAAAATAGCAAATCAATTCATAATTGAATAAAAGCTTGTTTGACCCAAATGTTTCAGGGAAAATTGATTTTTAAGAATGTATTTTTAAAAAGTGGAGAAAACTGAAGACAGGTTGTGGGTCTCATAGAAAAGTTCTGAGAAAAAATAATTTTTAGAAAAAAATCTTTCACAAACAAGCCTCAAGTGAGGTGTACTTACCTATTATTTATTTATTTAAGGTACTGGACAAAATAGTTCTACAACTCGATAGAATCGTAATTATCAAGACTAGTATCTATTTTGCAGTAGAATCATGGTAATACTCCAAAGTTAGCTCCTATTTGACCCTTTTTTGTTTTATTTTATTTTATTATAAGCTGATTAAAATTTATTTTCGACAACATATTTTATGGGATCCATATTTTTTTTATCCATTTTTATTCACATATTTTATGAGATCCACCAACTTATAATTTCAAAAAAAAAAAAGAAAAAAAAAATTGTCAAACGGGGACTTAATAAATTACTTGCATTGTTTAAAAAGTTAGATTACCACTCGTTCGTACTTGATGAAGTAAGTAAAGCTTGTTCGGGGTGGATTTGAGCAAATACAAGTCTTCCAATTTTTTAAAAAGTTCTTTAGTGTTTTTAAGTTTACCCACTTTTTTCATAATAGTGTCAAACAAGTGTAAAATGATTGAAGTATAAGAAAACTCAACGATTTCTTCTTTTTGTTCTGTTGAAAAATCAACATAAAAGTTGTCATCGATGGCTTATGAAACCTTTTGTTTAACCAAAATACTTCTCTTTTTTGTTGCCAATTGAAAAATCACATTTTCTGTTAAAAATTCCTAAATCAAAATTGTGAGTTGTCATTTTCACGAATCAATTAGAAACAAACCGTCACAATTAAGCTACACAAAGTAGACCTAGTGTCGCAAACGATGTACACCGTTTTAAATTTTCAGGGTTTCGTAAGATTCTCGATCTTAGATCAAGAGAACGTTCGAACTGGCAATGACTAGGTATTCTAAATAGAATCAATGGTACAACAAAAGAGATATGTCACAAAACAGTTTCTCACACAGTATATCACAGAGATAATAAGCTGATTTTATCAAATGAATGATTTAATCACGTAACAATTAAAGGCAAGTAGTTCTTAATTTCTAGCATAGTCGATGGTTACCCTACACGGTAATCGAAATCTTAATGTCATCCCACACGATGACGCAATGTACCATAAATTAAACGAGATATGCCAATTTACCAAAGCAGACGACATCTAAAGGTCCGTAAAATTGAAAGAAGTGAATTTGCTGCTTTATGGCCACCATTATTCTCCCTAAAGTTTCAGCAAACGTATCAAAGATTGCAAACCAGACATCTAGGGGAAAAATCGTCCAAGATTTACTGTATAACCTGAATCACAAAATTAAAGTTATCAGAACGTTCATAATGATGAAATGAGAAAATTGTCCGAAGGAAGCTTCTCCAGATTCTGCCGGCCCGTCATCATGCTCCACTGCTGGAGTGCCCAGGCACCGTCACCACTGGCCGCCATCTTTTTCTTGCGCCACACACCAGTAGCGCCCGTTTCGACTTCCGTTTGTCCAAAAACTTCACAGTTTAGCCAGAAATCAAGGTTGAAGGTTCGATCAATTTGAGAAATAGAATTTGGGTTAGTTTTTTGGTCGATTTTGGATCTAAAACTTGTACCAACACTCTGATACCAAATGTAAGGTGGAAGAATGGAACACCTAAGGCCATCCGGGCTCAGTTTTATCGAACCAACTGAGATCAACAACACCAAATAACAACTCAATCTCCTAACTCCGGTTGCTTTTATATTGCCCACAATGGGCACAAAAGTGGGAGATTATTGCAGCCACAAAGACTATGGAAGACAAGGAGAAAAAACACTGTAGTAGGATGCACAAAGCAGAGATAGAACAGTCGATTTTTTCTCACAAAAGTCTAGAGCAGTAACGTGTATTTCTCAAGGCAAAGTGGCTGCCCATATATAATAGTAAATTAGGCTTTTAGGTTAAGTAATGGATTAGGCCCAAAAAAGGAGACAATAGATAACCAATAAGTGGGTCAAACACCAAAATTCGTCCAAGGAGTAAATGATCGGGCTTGTGCATTTGCATGTACATTAATTGTGCTGTTAAAAAAAAATCACGAAATGACATCTGGAAAATCAATAACATTTTGTTTCTGGCATGCGTACTTTTTAAAAGTTTTTAGTTTTCTTCATTTGCACAGGTCTCATTTGGTTGCAAAGCTTATCTTCCTCGATCAATTATGTGAGCTCTCACCATACCTACCGAGAAGCTTACTGGAATCTCATGTACCTTATGCCATCCTTCGTTCAGTATACAGTCAGTACTACTTGAATTCTTCAACTCCACTGGCATTATTGAGTTCATCTCCCTGACACTCCCATGCCACGTCACTAGCACATGCTTCTCCGGCATTGAAGCAGACGCATGGAGATTTTACTCATGATACTGGCCAAAATGATGACTTCACTCATTGTCTTTCATGCTATTTTCTGGTTATTTCTAGCTTCCAAGCAAGGCCGGTCCTGTGATTTTTGGGCCCGAGGCGAACTCTGAAAATTGGGCCCCCAGAATCAACGTAAATGCAAACTTCAACGATGTATTATGCATCGTATTGCTAACTTAAAACTGAATAGTAGAACAACAAACAAATATAAAGAACAAAATATTTATATTATAAAGTAACAAAACCGACAAGAGTTTAAACAATCAGTTAAATACTATTCGCCTTGCTTTTTAGAGGCAAAAACATTAATCATTCATGATCAACTGCATTACTGAAGCATTTGATATGATCAACCAACGTGCTGGTAACTAAAATCAGATTTCCACCTTGAAACCGTTATAGAAACACTAAAAAGAACCATCAAACGAAAAGTAAACTCTGCTGATATCTATTTCCATTCTCCTTTAACATTGAAGATATTTTTTTCTGGCTCCTACATTTGGTGGCATAAACCGAGCTTCAGAATTGGAACAAGATATGATTCAATTCAAATTTCAATTCAATTTTTTACCAATC